GGTGCATATATTAACATGTGCCCACCGTGGGTGGTTAGGTGAACATTCTCATATAATATATATAGAAGATGTGTGTGTGGGAACTTATACTATATTGGCAAATCATGCAAAAAAAAAAAAAAAACAGAGAGAGAAAACACGCGTGTGTAAAAAACTCATATAATTTCACATGGTGTTGGTTTTTTTACCCTACTTCTTTTTGCCCTCTCATCACTTTATAGAATTTTGTATCTAATTTGCGAAAGTTAAGCCGGTCAATTGGTAACAGATAGAAAGTTACGGCTGTAATTTTTTTACAATTATTATTTTACATTTATTCATTTTGAAGCAATTTCAGAGCACCTCTATATATGTTTCTTTAACATCACTTTAAAAAAAAAATAATAATAAAAAATATCACACTAAATTGGGGCACCAGATGATGGCTCTCTGAATAAAAAAGTGGCAAGAGAAAAAAAAGAGAAAGGAAAAAAAAAATAAAAAATAAAAAAAAGATTCTTCATCTTTTTTTCATTTTCCAATGTTAGTTGAAAGCTTTTTTTTTTTTCTTTTTTTCTTATTGTGGAAATTGATAAGTACAAGAAATTGAATATTTTTGCTTTACATTAATTTATCTGAATTTACAATTACTTCATCAAATTTATCAATTAATATTCTATTATTATTATTATTATTGTACATAAACTAATGTCATTATGTTTATCTTGTATTCACTCTCTCACTATTTATAAATATAATATTTTTTTTTCCAAGTAATTTATTTATCACAATTTTCAAGATATCTAGAGTATGTTTATGAAATTTTTTGAGTTTGTTTAGATTTTTTTTGTTTGATTTGGTTAATTTTGAAAAAAATTGTATGGTTAGTTGTTAGTAGATATATTAAAATAATATTTAAAATAAAATGATTAAAATTAAATTGAAGTAAAAGTAAGAGAGAAAAGATATGATGTGATGGTTAGTTAAAATTATGTAGTAAATGAATAGTGAATTAAGTTTGATGTGGTGTAATATAAAAGATTGATTGATATTATTTAATTATATTATAAAATTAATGATAGTGGTGTTGAGTTAAAGTTGAATTAAAAAAAATGATTGGATTAAAATATTAAAAATTTTTAAAAATTCTTATAAACAAACATGCTCTAATACTACTTCAGAAAATAAAAATAGAAAACTGATGTGATATCACTAATAACTGGTAAATTTGTAACACGAAAAGACACCTACAAAAGAAATTGTCACCATTTAGATGCCAACCAAATATTTTTAAATTATTATATAAGTTTCTCTTTTCCTAGCTTTTGTCTCAAGTGTCCTTGTTTAGGTGCCCATTTTTTCAGCCTTATCCCTTACCCTTTTTATACTTTACTTTTTCAATTTTCATTTTATTATTGTATGATTTCTGAAAACCTGACATAGGGAAATCGCATGGTCATATTACGAAATTATTCTGTTGAGATTTTTAATTGTTATATCATCATATAACTGCTATATATAGTTGATCTAACGGTTAAAAACTTCGACGGAATAATTATGTAATAAGATCGTAGCATATCCAATAAGTATAATAAATGTTTCAGCTCACTAGTCATCTTCTTTCATCATTTATTACGAAATATAACTAATTTCAATGTTTATAAAAAAAAATTACATAATTAAAGATAGTTTACAATATAAGTACACATATAAATTGACAAACTTTAATTAATACTTAAGGAGAAAGATGAAAAGTATGTGTCTTGAAAATGACAAAGGTTATCACTCAAACAAGAAACCTATGCATCAAATATTTTTTTCAAATTTTCAATCAATAAAATTAAGGTGGGAGGAGCTATTAGTTCACATAGTCTTATCCATACTCAAAATCATTATTGACCTTGCAATTTGCAAACATAGAAAAGTAGCTCTCAGTTTTGACATATGTGATGATGTACTAAAGTAGGTAATTAGGGGCAATTCTATATTAAAAAATGTAGTATAATATAAACTTTAATTTTCACTACCCACAAAAATTATCATAGTCTTTTGATCCGAACCGACCAGGTGGGTCGACCCGGACTCGGTTGACTCGAAGCCGAAACGGTCCAAATGGACTATTTAAATGGAGCAACAAAGGACTCGGTCAAACGTGGTTAAAACTCGGCCAACTCGGCCTTGTATTGGCGATCTATTATGACTATCAACAACTAACACTTTTAATTTTCTTGTTTTTATATTAAATATATGATAAGTATTACATTTTTATTGAAAAAATTGTTTCTTTCTCTAATTATTGTATACTATGCATATAGCATTTAATTCATTCATTGTCATGATGTTGATCTAAATCAAAATTATAATAATTCAAATGTTTTAAGATACAAATAAAACTCTTAGGCCTCATCTTCTAAACGAGTTTCGTCCAACAAATTATAAGACGTTTAAATCAGTACAAACTATTGTGTGAGCTTTTCACACTGGATTAATTCGGCCTACTTTATTCAAATAATAATGTGTACCTTATGAAATGTAATATTTACATTTAGATATTTTTATAGAATATGTAATTCCAATTTTAAAATATGAAAACCCTTTGGCAAATGTCTAAGCATTATTGAGGTTTGCATAACATCAATCAATCTTTATAATAATAATAAAAAAAAAAGCACGACTGTCTAGCCGTTAAGCTTTCCTAACAACATTTCTATTAATAACAGTCGGTACATGTTAGACTAACTTAAATATAAAACCGACGTACTCTTTTTATAAATGTGCACACTAGTTTCATATAAAATGTCATACTTTAAAAAATAACTTAAACAATAATATGAAATTTGAGAGCGTAAATACAACTTTTGTTTGGTAGGACGAACTGATAAATTTCTTTTTATAGTTTTTCAAATAAACTCGTCAAAATTTTTTATTCTAACTAGCTTATCAACTAATTTTACCAAACACTTTTATCATATAAACTAGTTTTTAGCTATAAGTCATATACTATAAATTCAAAAATTACTGATAAACTTTACGCTAGTTTATCAATTATCAACTAGATTATCAATTAATTTTACCAAGTATAGCCATAACGTGTGATATGTCTAGACTTTCCACACAATTCATGTATTGTGGTAAATAAGCTCCTTTCTAGAACTTATAATTTCCTAATAGTTAATACCTCTAGTCTTTTTTTTTTTTATGATATTAATATATTATTAACTCATAAATATGAAGACATTTTATATACTCAAAACATAAAGGATAAAAAAACTTGGATGATAAATGCATTGCAAACTTTTTGGTGCTTGATGTAGAATTTCTTCCAAAGGGGAAAAAAAAAATAAGGCATTCTACAAGGACCAAACAAAATTAAATAGAAATTTTTCCAATCACATCTTTTGTATTTATATACAAATAAAAAAGATACTGCCAAATCCCATCTACACAAAAACATTCATATCCATATTAAAACATTGTTACTATCTAGAAATCAATATTATAAAAACACTCCAAAAAACTAATTAAAGTAAAATAAAATGCACAAAAATATAATTAGGAAAGATAGTATTAAAAATAATAACAATCAAAACGGCTGCAAATTTTTACTCGACACGTTTACACCGGCGAACAGCCCCACCAAATCCTGTTTGTACGGCAGGTACGACCGCCACCTCTCTCCGCCGTCCCGACTATACACAGGCGGCGGCGGAGGCTTCACTTTTCCGGCGGCTCCGATCTTCTCCTCATCCTGCACCTTCCTCTCGCTACCGACACGGCTCGAAAATACGAAACGGTCCTTACCTCCGTCGCTTTGGCTCCTGCGCAGCAGGTCTCTGAACTTCCACCGCTTGGAGCTCGAGCCGCCGGAGCTGCTCTTTCTGCACCGCCTCTCCGACTCTGCCGCCGTGGCGGCGTCCTTCGGCCGCCACACGCAGTACGTGTCCGCCGGAACTCCTTCCAACTCGTCCGCCTCCGACGAAGAGCTAGACGACGCCGCCGCGGCCGCAGCCGAAGCCAGAGGCGTCGCCCTTTCCTCGATAAATAGCTTCATCAAAGGCACCCGAACGGTCGAAACGACGCCGTCCACCGCTTCCTCCTCGTTTCCCCTCTCAAATTCGCTCCGTTTGGGAACCGAATCCGCATCCAAAATCGGGTATACGGCTCGGATCTGGCCGTTGCAGAAGATCTCGTCGGCTGAGACCGGCGACGCAATCCCGGAGCCTCTTCCCGCGAAAGCGAACTCGAATTCGCCACCGTCCTCTTCCGTGACCACGTCGTTTCTGGTTTCTTCTCTCTCTAGAAATCCCCAATTCTCCTCTCGCTTCTCCAGGTAAAGCTCGCCGCCAAGTTCATCGAGATCGAATTCCCCGGCCACTCGCGCGGCGATTCCGGCGAGCCGAGTGTTGGAGTAGCTGCTGTTGAAGCTGGGAGATGGCAAGATAACAGATCTTTCATTCATATCTTAAAAAATTTCTATAACTACCACTGGTTTTCCATTAATTTTCCCCAAATAAACAGAGGATGAAGATGAAGAGACTGCAAATTGTGAGAAACTGATTGTGTGCGTGGTTTTTGGAGAAAGTTGGTTGAATGTGCCCAAAGCGTGAGGTCTAGCACATGAGATTATATAGATGTAGGGGTACCACACTACCACCTATCTAAAAAAAATAGAAATAACCCAAGACCGCTTGGATGAGATGGATTGTGTCTCTTCCAGCTTAACCAGTGGTCTCAAGTTCGAGCTCTGAGAATGCAGCAGTGTTAAAACTCTTGAGGGAGAGCTTTGCCGCCCTTGTGGTCCTACCCGGCTCGATTCTGGATTAGTCGGTTCCCCTGTGGATTCGGAAACCGGAAGGTCCTTGTACCAAAAAAAAAAAAATAGAAATAAAAAAAAAACATCGATAATTTTTTTTTAATTGAATCGTACCCAAAAAAATCGAGTTAATTACTTTATGTGGTGAAAATAAGTGAATCGAATCACACTGAATTGTAAGGTTGTATTGGAATTTTTGAGTTTTGTTTTATCTATGCATTCGCGTTTGCTTCATCCACAAACGCACATAATTAAAAAAAAAAAAAACGAACTGCATCACTAAAATACGTGTACTTAATCATATTGAGTTTATGATTTTGTGTGGTATTACCATGTGCTTATATGCTTTGAGTTCGATGCAAAATCACATCTAATCAAACGAAAAATTGAATTGTAACGCAAAAAATAATGTACATCGAATTATATTTCGATGCAAAATCGCATCTAATCAAACGAGAATTTGAATTGTAACGCAAAAAATAATGTACATCAAATTATATTAAAATGTACGATTTTGTTTCTTTTAATTTTCTATGCATTTGAATTTACTTCATACAAAGTCGCGTCTCATTGAAACGAAAAACAAAAACTGAATTGCAACACTAAAAATAAGTGATTCGAATCATATCAAATTGTACGATTTTTTTTAATACATTTGAGTTCGATCAATGTAAAATTGTACATAATGAAAAAAAAAAAAATTGGAATAAATCAGTTAACAACATGACATATAAAAACGTGGGCTTGAAATTAAAACCGAAATTTTTTAAAATAAAAATTGAAACGAGGGTGGGAGAGTATATTGGAGATAATATTTTTAAAATATTTTTTCAACCGAACCAATTATACTATTCGTTTTGACACCAAAAAAAAAAAACACAAATTATACTATTCAACATATAATTGTACATATTTTTTTCAGTTTTGCTAACCATAGATGTGTCAATGACTGTTAAAAAAAAAAAAAAAGGAAAAGTAAAAGAAAAGAGAAAGGCAAACGGGCCACGGGAAGGCCGTGATCGGGTGGTCTACGGTGCAGCGTACATTTCTGCCACTTGTAAGGGGGACAATCGGTCTACGTCAATTGGGCTTATCAACTTGGAAAATGTGATTTAATTTTAAATCCAGAGTTGACTATTTGACTTATTAGAAAATGTGATAAATATCGTTTTTCAAAAATTATTTGATGTAATCATGGGATGGGAAATGTAATAATATTAGTTAGGAGTATTTAGACTAAGCTCGTGAATCTATACTTATATAAAAAGCTATACTACTATTTATTCAATGTAATTTATTAATATATAATAGGATTAACTTAATTAATTTTTAAAAAAATTTTCCCGCCAAATTTATTAATTACATTCTAAAAATAGTAACTTAACACACTTTCATTAATTATTGTTTAATTATATGCCTATGTTTTTCCAATTTTTTTTTTCTTTTATGATATGGAATGAAAATCCTAATCAATCTCCTATTTTTGTCTCCATATCAATCACAGAGATAAAAAACTGAAAAAAATGGTAACAAGATTTTTTATTTTCGCTACAATAACAATAATTATTTTGAAGTTACATATATTCGTTTTTGTTTAAAATATTAGATAGATTTATTTTTGATGAACCCAAATATATAGATTCCATAAATATTAATATTGTAATGTAGTGAGATATTCTACACGTTGTGAACTTATATTTCCGAAATCTCATATAATAACTAAAAATTATATATATATGTATATTAGTATTTACGAGAATCTCGAACACACTCTGCCATTCAATTGTCAATCGTTAGAAAAACAATTTCTCATACTATTAGCAGAAAAACAAAACGATTATAGACCAACCAATGTGCTTGATCAGATATCTTAAACGCAATAAGAGCACATTATGGACCAACCAATGTGCTTGATCACCATTTATGAACGTACAAAAAATTGGGAAATCCATAGTAAGTGCCAAACAAAAAATGGACAAACCTTTCGTTCTTATCAAAGATGTTGAAAGTACAAAGAGAGTTATGTTGCAACTTCTGAAAATCTGAAAAGAATAAGAGGAAGAAGATGTTTATGCAACTTGCAACTACAAAGTGGAAAGAAATCTTAGTAAATATGGATCTGCAATTATCAAATACAAAATAATTTTGCATAGAAAAACAAAACTCATAGTCAACCCAACCTATTTCTCTATTTTTCAGTTTTGATTTTTGAAATTTTGCAACATTTTGTGATGTGGAAAATGTCGATGAGTCTTCACTTTTCGATAAGAATAACTTTCGAATATATTCATTATCATATCTAACAATGATTAAATAAATATTTTTTATTTCTTATGAATGTAGATGTCATTGGGTTGGTAGTAGAAATTCAACAAGTGCATCTACAACATAAATAGCTTTATGTAACACCAAATAAATGATACGTAAAAGTTTTAAAATGTTACATAAAAGCTATAAAATGTTACTATAGACAATAAGTAACACAATATTGGCGCTGCAGTTGTTCGTGCTACCTAAAAGTCAAAGGTAATACTTTTGGTAGTTTTTGGTAACACTTATATGATACTTTTGCTAGTCTTTGGTAATACTTATATTAAAGTGTTACAATAATATGATACCTTAACCAATAATTTGTAATACAATATTGGCGTTGCTGTTGTTCGTGCTACCTAAAGTCATTTATCTTGTAGTTATGCAATTCAAGCAAGTTGCACGACAACATACCCAAATGATTGATTTTACTCTTCTCGATTTGGAGTAAGTATTTGCATAAAGGTATTCAATTGTTATATACATTTAAGAAAAAATTATTAGTTTAAAATTATTATTTTATCTATTATAGGGACAATACTATTAGTTTTGAGAGTCGTTATAAAGGCAAAGGCTATCCATGAGCTCTCATAATGTAGCTTAGTAGAGCAAGATTGTGTGGTGGTAGTATTAAAAAATTAAAGTATTATAAATTTTGATATTTTTTAATTTTGCTTTTTTATATATAATAATTTGGTGGAGCAAGGCTGTGGGTTGGTTGTATTAAAAACCAATAATGTTATGTACAAAGAGGTTTTTAATAATGTATGACTTTTTATGATGAATATTTTAGATTAAGTGACAAATGCTCTACGTATTATACGTTATTGATTAATAACCTTCAATTTATAAATTTTACCAAAACAAATACAGCCCGTACATCGCACGAGTTATATACTAGTATGTATAATAGTCAACCCTAATTAATGATTTGCTACTTTTATCAAGTATTTAATTAATGCATCTAATATTTTTGGTATGCAAATCAAATTAGCATTTAATTAGTTACTAAAATATTGAGTATGCAATATTAATTTAAGAATATCCATGTAGTTCCTAAAATGTTGGTATGCAATACTTAAAAGAAGATTTTTTAATTTTTTTTAAATATAAAATATTGCAACGTAAAACTATTCCAGTTATTCTTTATTTTATTTTACATATAAAATCTAATCAATATTTAATGCATCATACAAAATTGGATGGAAATAAAAAAATACGTAAAATCTTTACTAAAATAAAAAAAAAAATGTTTTATTTATTATCTAATTTATTATCTAAATTATTATCTAATTGTATGAAAATCTGTTTTGATTTTATGGTACGTACTACAAATTGTGCACCCGTGTTCAGGAGCTACTTAACGGGCAAGCTCTGTGGAAATAATTTATTTAGTGCTTCTGTCCTGTGCATACAGTATG